TGGCCACTCTATTGGCTTATGTTCCTATTTCTTGTTTACAAAGATGCTCACCCTAAATATTGTTTTATTAGCCTTTATTTTCGATTCAGCAGTATTGACACTGCTCTGGATTACTCTTTAAATTGGGGTTTAATAAAATTTTCATCATTAATTAGCCATATGACTTCAAGATATAGTTTAAAAAAATTCTTTGAATCATAGTTTCCTGACTCTGAGGATTATTAGGGCATATATATATATATATATATATATATATATATATTTCTCAAAGGGACTTGAGAGAGTAGATCTGAGATTATTATACTTTTTCTAGTGTCACAATTGTTCTATAGTTTCTTTCTTTTAGTTATTTGGTGTTGAGGATCTTTTTCTGCATTTTTCCAATTGTTTAGGTGATGTCTCATATTAATGTCCTCCGCCAAAGATCTATCTGGGTCTTTCTGGGGGTAATAGCAATTTAAAGTTTAGAAAGTTTTCAAAGGGTTCAGCAGCATGCTTTCTATCATGCTTTTCTGGTGCCCTGAGAGCCAAAATCTTCATGTGCTTCATTTACAAGAAACAACCAATAACTTCCTTTTTGTGAAATTCTACCTGCTTGACTTCTATAACATAGCAATCTCATTTTTCATGTATTTGTCTAACTGTCTCTTTTTCCCTTAGTAAACTTAAAATTTGTCTCTTTTTCCCTTAGTAAACTTATGTTTCTCTGTCCCATCTTTAAACCTTGATGTCAGACAGGGGTCTGCTTTGGCCATTTACTCTCTATACCCACATATCTTCCCTGGGTACCTTCCCTCATCCACTCTCACAGTTTCAAAAAACATCTCTGGCTGGTAGTCTCAAATCTATACATTCCTAGACAACAGCGTTGCTCTGAACTTCAGATTATATTCTTAACTTTCAAATCAACATCTCTACTGATATCACTTAGGCTTACCTCTCTACCAATCTCATTTCCCCTTTTCTATTCTCTATTTCTTTAGATGGCTTCACCACACGATCATCTTTTCAGCAACTCAGCTGAGAGATTGGGGACTAATATTTTTCTCTCCCATCACACACGTTCAATCAAAAACCAAATCCTAGCAAGCTTATTTATTAATATTTATTAATTATTCCTGAATCTGTATCTTTCATTCACCCTCACCTTTTTTTTTTTAACCCCAGTCGGAACTTTTAGTGTTTTTTTTTTTTTTTTTTTTTAGGTCATGCAATGTCTCCCTACCTCTTCTCTCTGCTTCCAGTTGCATCTTTCTTCAATCCAGCTGTAAATTTGGCAATGCCATTCTCTTACATTGTTCAGTGGCTTCTCCTATTCTTTAGGAAAAAGTATTTCTTCCATATCATGATATCAAGAATCATCCTTGGTCTACCCTTTCCTGATCCGTTGGCTTCTCTAGGCACAGCTCTTATATCTTGTCACTTCTGACCACATGTTTTATTTTACTGTGAAAAAAATTCCTTCTTGTACTCTCTGCATGGGTGTATACACTGAGAAACACATGCATCACCACCAGTACCAACACCACCACCACCGGCACCACATTCTGTTCTCTGCATATTGTGACTTGGCTTATAATTTGCTCTTGGCATGGAGTCACTTTTTTCCTCCTTCTTTTATCTTGAGAACCTCCCACACATCTTTCACTCACTGAATAAGCATCATTTAGTCCAGGAAATCAAAGCCGGGCTTTGTTAGGCCTTCTCCATTCTGCTCCCTTATATCATGGACATGTTTCTATCATTTATCATATACTAATGATGTGTTTTATATCAGCCTTACCCAAGTAAATTGTGAACTCCTTGAAGTCAGTAGTCACATTATTCAATTTTGAAATCTCAGTTTTTTTATATAGTCTGCCATATGATAGGTGCCTAAGACCTTTATTGAATGAATAAATTAAATAAATAAATTTTAGTATTTACTAATTCACAGTGACCATGTACTTGGTTTTTTTTCTCATTTAATTGAAATAATTTGGACATGTTTCATCAGTATAAAATTCATATAATTGACCATAAATATAAATTCATAAAAAATTAACCATCAATAAAAATATGTCTAATCCATTTTAAGTTACTGTTTATGCAATCCATATGAATTTGTGTTTTAATTTCTATAATAATTTCAAATAAGGAAGTAAAGTTCAAATCTTCCAAAATAATATACAAAAGGTTTACAGTCTTTGGAAAAATATTCAAAGGGTAAAAGTCACAAGCCTTGATAACTCTCCATATACTATCTTTAATTTCCTCTTATCTTTAATTTCTCACATCTCAAATTAGTCTTATCTGCTAAACTCCCCTAAAACACTCTCAACAGACATCTCTGGGGTGTTTCTCTTTATCCCCACTCCTTATTTATTTTTTAATTAGATTGTCACTTAGCAAAATAGAATAATTCCAATTAAATAAGGAAGGGAAATAGAAATAGTAAGTGCTCAAATGCCAACTTCCCTTTAGCAGAAGAAGGAGGCAGGGAATGTTTTGGACTATCTCATCCTGGTGATGGCTGCCAAGCACTTATATGCGTATATGTTGTAACACTGCTCTCTTTGGATTATTGGTCAATTATTCTTTTATATTGTCACATAGAAGACATCTGTATGTGAATGTGCCCTTTTATTGGAGGTGACATTTGCATTTCCTCTTCAAAAAACAAACAAACAAAAATCTGAATAGGTAGTAGATTTGCAGACGCCCTCGAACAAATACTGTAAATTCCAGTGTGTTTAAAGCAGCCCTCTTGGTTTGTTGAAAGGAAAAATCTTGGACTCAGCACTTTGCTTTTTCTCTTGTAGTTTATTTGTGATTAGAGTCTATATACTTCATACTTTATATATCAGCAACAGCTGTATACGGATGGTCCAAGGGAAACCTCCTCAAAATATCTTTGTTTCCAAAAGAAAATGGCCTTTATGAACTTTGGCAGGAGCTGTACACTTGAGCTATGTTAAATTTTAAAACTTGAATGGAAAAATCCACTGCATGGAGAAGCCAGCCACACAGGATCATGAGCCGGATCTATTGTTAGAAGAAGGAGGTGCCAGCAGCTCACGGAGCTCTGGAGGCTCGCAGGGCCTATGTACACTGTATCCTGTGGGGGTCCTGGACAAGGCCACTTGGATGGGGGCCTAACCACAGCATTACACATGCTCAGGAAGAGGTAACGCTGGAAATTTACCACTTGGCAAAGCGTCTTTACAAAACCAGAGTTTGGGTTTGTGGTAGTTTCTTTAGGTAACAGTTTCACAATTTTTCAAAAATAACTTCATTTTACTCATTCACTCACTCACTGAGTTAGAATGTTTCTATAATTTGAGAGTCCTTTACAGAGGTGGAAGGTTCTACCTCAGTCAGGTCCTGAGAGCGGTGCCTAACCATCCCATTCCTGTCACCTTAATAGGGTTTTCACTATTATTGTGTTTTCACTATTGTCTGGGGTGGTGTAAGAGTCTCACTTTGCTTAGTTGTCAGTGTTGATGGCTGCTGAGAGCTGCTCAGCCAGCCACATGTGAATTGCAGTAGGTGGTTTACAGCCTTCTGCCTCAGTATCAGTCAAAGGTACTAAAAGAATATCTGGCTCCATGTGTAGTTATTTCTTGGTACTTCAGTATTATGCTAAGTTGCTTCACCGTAGCTGGACAAAGTCTTCTATTTTCATGGCAAGATATTTCTGCAGGATGTGAAGCTGCCCTAGCATGCCAGGGCTAGGATGAATATTTGTGTCTGCCACTCTTCAAGCTACCACAGATTCTGCATGAATTACAGAAGGGTCACTTTAGCCCGAGGGTGCTGTTCGTGAACCAAAAAGTTCTCACAGAAGCCAGAAGCTGTCTCTGAAAATCTAATCTAGAGCTTTCATAATAGCTGGTTTCGGAAGGTCTGTGTCCTAATGGGCTTGTATCACTCTTACTCAGTGACTCTTAGTTTTTCACAAAAACTATTGCTTTTGGAGTATTGGACAGGAACAGATTTTAGTGTCTTCCATCTCATGATACCAGAAATTTGATAGCTCTTCTCTGCACTCAATCTGGTGTCAGCCAATGTAGTCCCTCAGCCTCGTTTCTCTACCTCATGGTGATTTATTTTTTCCAAGAGCCTTTTTTTTTTCCTTTCCGTGTCACTTGGCCTGAACTGGAGCTACCCTAGTCACGATGATAGATCTGCCAAAGTCTAAATATCAGGAAGAAGAGGTCAGAGAGTTTATTTGAGATTCTACTTCCTGGTAGGCATGTAGGTTTGTGAAAAATCCCTCCTTTTCCATATTTGAACTCCACATGAGAAGAGAAATGCCGGCTCTATAAGTCAGACTGAAGGCCCTATCGCATCATTTCTACCAGAGAGGACTTAACCAAGGGCCACTCAGGGGTTCAAGGTGACCCACATCTGGCAGCTTCTTCAGGAAAAAAGGGGGATAAAAGCTTTAAATCATTTAGGTAGAGGCCACACAGCAATATACAAAGGTATTCTATGATTTTTCATGAAAAATAAAAAGGTTGATCTGGTGTCAATATTTCTTTATATTGAAGACTAGTACTATGGTCTGTTGAGAAATATAAACTTTTCTTCAGAGAAGGTCTAAGAATAGAACAAAATCTTATTAGTCTAGAAGATTTTTAGCATGGTTCTGTTATAGGGCAAGTGAATGAAGGAAAAGTAGCTTTTCCATTGAAATCAATTCTTTTGTCTGCTTTTTAAAAGACCAGCCATTAGTTGCTTAGGCGTGGGTTCTAAATCAGAAGATGTCAAAAAGTGAGCTATCAGGATCTGGGTTCTGTTGCAAATCGCAGCAACATTGGGCCAGCAGCAAACATTGCAATATGAGTAAGTCCTCCATAAGTTTATGGGAAAAGTTTAACTTCTGAACTACTATAATTACCTCATAATTTATATACAGTTCTAATAATATAAATGAGTTGCAAGGTGTTCTCATGTATTCCAAGAGTTTAACTGATTAGGTTATTTCATAAAGATTATTGTTTGTTTTTATTTGGTAGCCTCCACCTCAGATATATGACAAGCAGTTGGATGAAAGAGAACACACAATTGAAGAATGGAAAGGTAACTCAAAAAGTATACTGTTTGCTTTATTGAACACAGAAAATATCATCCAGGCTTTTCCTTGTAAAACAGTGTACTAAAAGATGATTTGCTGACTGCTATTCTCTTAGGCCATTTTTAAACCCCTAAAACTTCATCTGTCTTTTTATGCTAAAAGCAATGTTGCATTTGCTCAAGAATGAAAGGAATTTACCATTGGTACCTTTTTAAATGGTACTGATTGTCAGTGTTTGTCATGGTGGGGGCAAGCTTTAGTTCAGAATTCCAGAATAAAATTTTTCATGTTTGTATATAAAATCATCATTTGACACATGAAATTAAAATTAATTCTGAGATGGGTTTGTACTTTAGAAAATAAAAGATAATTAATATATGAGTTTACTCATTGGATTGATAGGACTTGAGAAGGTAAATAGAAAATATATTATCTGTGTAGCTTATTTTTTCTTTAATGTAAAAATTAGAATGAACAAATGCATTAATTGATTTCGCAGCAAAACTTTTCCAAACACATACTGCATCTTTAAGATTATACTCAGAGTAAAACAAAGCAGAAAAACAATTGACCTAAAAAGAATTGTTAAACTAATCTAAATCACTACAGAACAGAATAAAGATGAGAAAGTCAAATGCAAGTTGTAACAAATGATCAGATCAAAATGGCAAGAGCTGAAGGAAAGGAACTTTTGAGTACCTTGAAGGAATTAGTAAGTGTAATTAGGAAAAGAAAAAAAATTAAGAAAATATCAGATAAAGGACTAAGAGGGAAACAAAGGATAGAAATAAGCAGAAAATGTTATAAAGATATTAAAGAGGAACAAGTGTGATGGCTCATGCCTATAATCCCAGCAGTTTGGGAGGCCGATATGGGGGATCGCTTGAGCCCAGTTCAGGATCAACCTGGGAAACATATTGAGACTGTCTCTACCAAAACATATAAAAATTAGCTGGGCATAGTGGTATGCACCTGTGGTCCCAGCTACTCAGGAGGCTGAGGTGGGGGGATCACTTGAGTCCAGGAAGTGGAGGCTGCAGTGAGCCATGATTGTGCCATTGAACTCCAGCCTAGGTGACAAAGAAAGTCTCTCTCTCTCTCTCTCTCTCTCTCTCCATATATATACACATATGTATATGTATATGTATATATACACACACACCCATATATATATATATAAAATAAAGTAAAATAAAAAATAAATAAAATTTTTAAAGATGCCAAAGAGATTCTACTGGTCCAGGGTCATGTTGGTAATATGGAAAAATGAACATATACAAAAAGTGGATCACGTGAAAAAAGATGCGGGATATGGATGAAGAAAGCTTGCTTTGATCTAAGAAGGGACAGGAAGGCACTCCTTAGGAGCTCATGAATAGGTGGGTGGTAGGATATTACCACCATTTGGGGAGGACATGGACTAAATTGTGAGAAATTGGAGAAAGAAGTACCTGTAAAGAATGATAATTATACAGATTATAAGCCATTGCAAAGCAAGAATGAGTATGGCTGAGTGATTTTTAGCTAAAGAGGACAACGTAAAAAGAACTGAAACTATCCAGTTTAACTCCAGCATTCAGAAAGCCAAATATGGATGCAAGTCTGAGAGTAAATGAACTAAATTTTTTAATGTGTTTGGTTTTTGGCAAGTTTAGATTTACAAATTCAAGATATGAGTATGGAAAAAAAGATGCAGTAAGAGATGGAACTTGTAAGGATTGGTAGTAATTTAAAGTCATAACAATCTCACAGGAAGTGAGTATAAAAGAAAAATGGATCTTCAAAACTAAAGCCATAAAAATTGTTACTAGATGAAGCTAGAATGTATCAGTAGTACCCCCAAAGAATTCAAAAAACAAGTAAAACATGTATTACTTTTTTCATATATGTAGAAATGTTTCATGTATGTAGAAATAAATGTTATTTATGTAAAAATGTATGTATGAATAAATAATATGTATGTATGTAGAAATAAATAGTATGTTTCATGTATGTAAAAATGAATTTTTATACATTTGTTTCTTCAGCTGCTGTATTGGATACCTATTTGTTCCAGGCTCTCTACTAATTATAAGGGAATATAGAAATTAAAATAGAGCAGTAAATGAATCGCAATTGAGTTTTAATTTACTCAACCCCATGAAAACATAATTATTTCCCATTAACTAATGAATTTCCCTGTGGATTAAGGAGAAATTTGTTTTCTATAGTAACACAGATAACTATTTCTTACAGAACTTATCTACAAGGAAGTAATGAACTCGGAAGAAAAGACTAAAAATGGCGTAGTAAAAGGACAGCCTTCTCCTTCAGGTACTCACTCTCCGTGAATAACCAATAAACAAGTACTTGTGTAATTTCTTGGCCTTTGTATAGGGCTGCAACAAATAACATTGCTTAAAGAGCAGATGGGCAAATATCACATAGCTGTTTCCTTATAATGATTTTAGTTTTATTTGTTTTGATATTAAGTGTGGCATTCATTCTGATTATTCTGATTGTGATGATCCAACATGAAAACTTTTTCATAAATTATTATTATTATATTATTATTTTGAGATGGAGTTTCGCTCTTGTTACCCAGGCTGGAGTGCAATGGCACAATCTCAGCTCACCACAACCTCCGCCTCCTGGGTTCAGGCAATTCTCCTGCCTCAGCCTCCCGAGCAGCTGGGATTACAGGCACGCGCCACCATGCCCAGCTAATTTTTTGTATTTTTAGTAGAGACGGGGTTTCACCATGTTGACCAGGATGATCTCGATCTCTTGACCTCGTGATCCACCCGCCTCGGCCTCCCAAAGTGCTGGGATTACAGGCTTGAGCCACTGCGGCCGGCCTTCATAAATTATTTTAAAACGATAATGAATCCTGAAGAAAATGTTAACATAGGCTAGTTAAAGGGTAAATGCTCCTCATTAAAATTCAGAGCCATAATGCCCTTTTGACCATCAAGTCAATGTACAGGTCAGGAATCCTTTCAGCCACAACCTCTTCCCTCATTCATTCTTAGTGTTTGAACTCTTCTCAAGGTTAGTGTGACAATGAAACATCTACCAAGATGGGCTCCAGTTAAAGTCAGCTTGGAAAATCTGTTATTTGCTAGCTACAGAATGTAATGTACAATTGTACATATTTATTTTTTACCGATCCTAGTAATGTGCTTTAATATTACTTGAGATGATTTACTTATTAATGCTAATGTATTTTTTCCTAAGGCCTATGCTCTCACTATAATTTAGAAAATGTGATGGCTTATTTTCTGCTTTAAGAAAAAACTACATTCAGTTCATGCTAGCCAAAATGTGGGCTACAAATGCCTAGTTTTGAGAAGGACTGATTAGGGTGTTGTTTTCCTAAATTATTTTAGAAAAAAGAGATGTAGGATGAAATAATTAATCAATTATTCATACTGATACTACTCTTTGAATAACTAATTTACACCCCAAACCACTATGATACCCAAACAGATGCAATTCAGTTATGACATGCTTTTCTCTTAGACTTGAAAATATACTCAGTTTTATTCCAAGTCTTTCCTTTCCTCAAAGAGGGTTGTGGGAATCACTAGAGTTGCTTTCCATGCTGCCCTCCTTACTCATTCACCCTAGCATACAGATTGACACAGTCCACGAAAGCTGCTTCTAACTAATCTGCATGTTTGTCCTGTTGCTCATTAAAAAACTCAAAGACAGAATCCAAAAGCCTCAAGATGACACCTGCTAAAGCTGGACAGTGCTTTGTTTTAAGAATTCCTATAATGACCAGAACATATTGTCTTATCCTCATTAAGCAGCAGAAATACCAGAATTTAGCCATGGGTGACCTAGCATGTTAGGCTTGGCCTGGACAAATTTTAGTAGAACCTGTTCTGTCCATCTTCAGTTCAAGTTTCCTTTTCATATCACCTTATCCCAAAAGACTTTTTACATCTTCCCAAAGATTAGGATCTTTCCTCTCTATAGGTCCTACTAGTCCCTGCATGTTAAAAAGTTGACCTCTTATCTTATTATCTCTTATTGATTGTAATTTCATTGAGAAGAGTGTACACATTTATCTCTGTGTCCTATGTAGTGCCTGGGTACTGTGCCTTGCACAGTAGTAGCTCAATAAATATTTATTAATTTGAAAATTGACACTCAGTTTCTCCCTCAGCATATTTCTTGGTACTATTCCAAATATAAAATTTGAGATAAAATCATGTAACTTTAATACAGTATACTATTCAGCATGTTCTTACACCGTTATTATACATATTTATTCACTCTATTAATCTCCATGAGGATAAAAGGCCAAGCATAAAGTATATAAATTCTTGCTATTGGCATTCTTTCATGCTTCACATAAAGGTTTGCAACTTTCAGGTGTTTGTTTCATTCATTTTGGGAAATACATATTCATTATTTTTTTGCAGTTCTGCTTGTTAATGATTAATTCTAAAATATGCAACTTAGGCTCTACCTAAGTAAGAAAGCTCTGCTACTTTTTAATCATTCCCACTACCTTAACAATTAAAAGTTGTCTATGTAATACATATGCCCTAAACTGTAGTTGACTTGCTTAACCAATTTATATTTTAAATGATTGTGGATTAAATCTAGAAAAATATTCGTGACTTAATTATGAGTCAAGTAGTATGACTTTCTCTTTTGTGAGAAATCATATGTATACTACACATTACAGGACACATTTCTGTATGGTGTATTTGTATGCATGATGGAGAGGCTATAGGGCAGCCATGTGCTGGTGCTGACTCTACCAGCTCATGACAGCCAATTGTGTACTTCTCTTCCCAATTATGCATTTACTGTTGGTGTGTTGGCAGCTTGAAATCAGCCACAGCGGATTTACAACATGGAAATTGGCAGACCCTACAAATCAGGGAATTTTTGTTTCCCCCACAGAGCCAATTGTTAAATTTTTATTGGCGCACCACGGTGTGTGTGCGTTTGTGTGTGTGTAGTAAACTATGCTGGAAAGAAAAAGCAATTACTAAAGAAAAGTTTGAAAAGTCAGCTTTTTTGCATTGTTCACTGTATTCACCTTTTTTCATTAATGTTCATGTAGCACATTTTATTTTAAAAATAGCTACGGTAAGGTGTTTTTATAATACTCTCTTAGTACTCAGTTATAGCAACACTGGGAATTCTGCAGCAGGGAATAACGCAGTATTCCTCAGGGGCAAAGTGCTTCTAATACTGAAACCTATGTTATATGATGCTTTTTAAATGTAAATAGGAAGATAAATGTGTATTTGCAGAATAATTTATAGGTTTAAAGTTTATTGATGGAATTGTTGTATATCAATAAGATAAATCTAAACTTCAGATGTATTTCTAAACAAATAATTGTACTCACTTCTTCTGCTATCTGATTTTACTTGCACAGTAATTTATTGTCAAAGATGGCATAGCTGCTTGCTTCCTGAATTGATTTGTAACAATTGCTGAGGGACTAGCAGTCCATGAATAGAAATTAATTTTCTTCTAAAAGCATTTGTTATTGGACATTAGAGCTAGAACAAATATAGGAGAGCATCTGATTCACCAATTCTCAGATTGTTCCCCAGCCCTCTTCCACCTGAGAAGTAAAGCTCCCAAAACTAACAGTGACTCACTAAGATACGGATGTTGAACATCAGAATGGGCAGAGATTTTTCAAAATCTCTAAGTCAAAGATAAAGCTTCTGGGTGATTTTAATATGAAATTGTTCCCTCCCCAATGTGGACCATATTCCCCACTGTGAGAATATGTCCTAGGGTCACTAATCTGGTACATTAATTTTATTTATGTTTTATTAAAAAATCTCAGGCCCAGACATACTGTGGCTCAAGATCATCTAGATAAAAAAGGGACTTTTTTTCAGTCTTGTGCTTTTTCTAATTCTATGTCTACCGTAGTATTTTGTTGTTGGGGGTGGAGGGGTACCAGGAAAATCATTTCATTAACAATAAAAAAAAAGCAGAATAACATTTTCCCCCACAACGTTTTTTTGGTTAAATAACTTCTAGCTGAGAATTTTTCATTAGCATAAAGTTACTTATTTCTATGAAATCTAATTTTTTAGGTAAAGTTGAAAGTAGTTAATATTCCTCATTTGCAACCCTATTTGCATTTTCAGTTCCTTTTAATACCATTTTTATTGATAAAAATTTGTAATGCTTTATTGATGGCAAAACATTTTTGAAAATGTATATCTCTACTCTTTTCTCTTAAGTAATATAGAAGGAAGGGATATTTATCACATTGCCTGGACAAGTGAACACCGTAATCAGATTCAATTCAGTTCAGGTCTGTTATGAGATGTTCACAAACTGCTTGGCAGTAATTTAACAACTTAAAGCCAAGGCCCATGTCTTGTCCCTTAAATTTGTGTTTGGGTTTATGGTTTACAAATCCTGCTTATTGCCTACATGAAAATAGATTTGAATGGATCATCCGGTAAAGGCAGCAGTGGCTGCAGGCAAGGAGGCATTTATTATAGTGCAATAGAGGGAGGAATACAGAAGCAAATAGTTTTTATCTAAGAGTGGTGGGCTGGTTAATATTTAACAACTGTATTTTAATAAAGGAATTGATGAGTAGCACTTAACATTTTCTGTGGTATAAATATTCTCACTGTGACCATTTTTAAGCAACAATGTAACCTCAACAGATGCAGAGTTGGAAAGAGATGCTAATAATTGGTTCTAAGAAGCCACTAAAAGCCAGCTCCAACACACCATAGACAGTGCACATTTTTCTCCCACTATCACACTGTATAACGAGGAACCATTCCCATCAAACAAGCAGATGTCATGGGTATTTTTACAAAGAAAGCAGTGGAAGAGAAGACTTCTCCTAATGAATTAGTGCTGTATAAAATCAGAAGCAGTAGTCTGTGGAACCCTACAAATACAGCTGATTAACACTTTGATAGATTCTCAACTTTGAATAGTTGAACACTAATTATAATGTGCATTCAACATTGATCAAATAGAGAGCAGGACCTTTTTTTTTTTTGAGACGGAGTTTCGCTCTTGTTACCCAGGCTGGAGTGCAATGGCGCGATCTCGGCTCACCGCAACCTCCACCTCCTGGGTTCAGGCAATTCTCCTGCCTCAGCCTCCTGAGCAGCTGGGATTACAGGCATGCGCCACCATGCCCAGCTAATTTTTTGTATTTTTAGTAGAGACGGGGTTTCACCATGTTGACCAGAATGGTTTCGATCTCTTGACCTCGTGATCCACCCACCTCGGCCTCCTAAAGTGCTGGGATTACAGGCTTGAGCCACCGCACCTGGCCGGAGAGCAGGACAATTCTAACACAAGAGATG